GGCTAGGGCTTTAAATATATATATATATATATTATTTTTATTATGTATTGCACTAATGAAATCCAAATGATTCATAATTTTTGCAAGCACAAAGAAGCAAGATGAATGGAAAGACTCAAGAAACAATCTTGTTGGCATGCAAAGAAAAAGTTAGGAACACATATAGGTAAGGCCCAAAGTGTCTAAACTTAGGGCCAAAGTATCTAAACTTAGGGCTCGTTTGGGACAGTTTAAAACAGCAGGCAGCGTTTTGAAAATGTTGTTTACTATACTATTTATTTTGCACATTTTACCAGCTTTTTGAAAAACACGGTTTTGAATTTATGCATAATTTGAAAAACACAGTTTAAAACAGTGGGCCGCATTTCATTTGTTGTGTTTAGTCCCGAATTGCTCTTTAGAAAACCAAATATCTAGAAAAAAAATGTAGCAAAAATATTCAACTAAAGCTTCGCGTCGATGATTTTTAAACCAATGTCTATATATACAACTCATATTAGTAATTCATTACAAAAAATGATAAGTACCTTTTTCAAGAAGAAATGAAGGGCGGTAAAATTTAACTAGCGAAGTAACGAGGTTGGCTCAAGTTCTAGAGAAGGTCACTGATGCCCATTGCCTGAACTTCGTTGAAGTGACACACAGCTTTGAACACAACTTAACGACCACCTTCCTTAAGCCTTGAACGTAAATAGAGAAGGATAGAGTCACAACAAGGAATTGCAATGCGAAAGAGTCCTTCACATTTGGGTTGAAACTAGGGATTAATGACTTTGAGAAAGGTGAAGCGATGAACTCGACATTAATCAAAGGACTGATTCACCGAATTGTAGGTCAAATTGCATTCGATCGGTTCAATGTGATTCACTAGTAGGTGATACGCCTAAAAAAAGTTCAATTTTTCATATACTTTTAATGCTTATATTTATATATTTTTATTGATATTGTATTTCAAAGGAAGATATTTTGTATATCTTTGGTGCCAAGGACAACAAATTGAGTTTTAGAGAAAAAGAAGCAAAAACTATGCAATTTGGAGCAAAAACGAGCAAGAAAGAAAATTCTGTCATGACACATTTTGATATTTCTTTCTGTGCTTAATCTCTTTTACACTTCTCACATATTTTTGAATTAAATTACACTTTAAAAGAAGGTTTTTTATGCTTATTTTGTAGGTCTATCTGTTAGGAACGCAACGTAACTAAAACGGGGCAAAACAGAGCTAAAACAGAGTCAAACGAAGCAAAATGGTGGAGCTGCGCAAGGTGGGCGCCGACGATGCCAGAACTGGCGCCGATTGCACCATAGTGCAAAAAATGATGTGAAAATGGCGCTGACGGCTCCCAAAATGGCACCGATAACACCCGAGATGGTTTGGACGCGATGTTTGGCAAATTTCTAGAAGATTCAATGTATTTGGACGTTTTTTGGAAGATTGCTTGAGACATCTCTTGGAAAATTCGTCCCTACACTATAATAGAGTGTTTTTATGTCAGAAAAGGTGGTGTGTGAGAGGGAAAAAGGTGAAGAATGCTTATAGATCTTAGAATAGGAGTAGAAATATAGATTTCTACATTTTTTGAGAGATTGGTGAGGGGATTTTGTTTGAGAGAATCTGTAAGAAGATGTACTAGCATTACATGAGTCAGCTGGAGACTTTGTGGGAGAGATTTTCATCTTTCTTTCAAGGAGAAAAAACTAAGTATTATGTTCTTCATTATCTTATGATTTTATAAACACTTATCTAGTGGATTTGTTTTGATGAAATGAAGTTTTCCTTTGTGTTTTCTTCGTGATTTGTGATGTATTTTTCTTGCACTTTCTTCTTATTAGAAAATAGTGACATGAGAGAATTATGTCATTATTTTCCTTTTACTTTTCTTTTGCAATGAGTAGGATTCATGTTTAGAATTTTATGATGCATGCTAAGAATTTTAGGATGCATGCTAGAAGAAATTTTAATTATAAATGTGATAATTTTTACTTGTGCTTCATTTACATTACAATAAGAACATGTTGTAGTGTTAAAATTCGTTGTAATTGCATTAAGACCCAAGAGGGCGGTGTAATTCTCAATAAAGTGGAACCACATTCAAATTCCATGATTGGTGAAGTTCATGGGGGTTGATTGCAAATAAATAGGGATATATATATATATATA